GGGCCTGAGTTCAATCCCCAGTTCTGCCCATCTCAGGGTTTTATTTATTAAACCACTCAATGCTTATTTTAAAAAAATAAAGTAGACAATGTATGATTTTATTAATGCAAAAGCATCAATGATAACCGTTTAAACATTAAAATTTTTTGAGCAGCCAAAAAAAAAAAAAATAATGTAACCAACAGATATTTAAAGATGATCCTTTCAACACCAGCATCTTAAATAAAAATGTTTAAGATTCCCAACTTTCTTACCTTTCTTTTTCATTTTCAAAACTGCAAGCAAAATGTGTACAACTAATGGTATTTACAGTTTAAAATAAGAGCAGGTCAGACAAAGATCACCAAGTTCACCATGAGTCTTTCACCACCCAATTAGCCTTGAAATTCCACAGTTAAGAAATTCACAACTGGGAGTGCCTGCCTAGCATGTGCAAGGGCCTGGGTGTAACCCTCATCCCCCTGCAGCCCCAGCTCAGAAATAAAATGAAGGTGGAAAAAGCGAAAAGATTCTGATATTGGGAAATTAATAAGCTACATGATGAACAAAACATATTTAGGTTCAGTTCTACTTGAAAACAGTCATTAGTAGCCTCAGGTTCTCCATCAGTGGGTTCAAATAACTGCATGCTGAATATGTAAGGAAATAGGGACAGTATCTACACGTATCTTCCCTGTCATCCTTCCCCAAACAACAGTCAACATGGCGCCAACACTGCAGCAGCACTCTAAGTACGTACACACAAAGCACACTGGAGTGTGCACAGGTCACAAACACCATATTGCTATTATTTATATGATGGACTTGAGCTCCTTGGGGTTTGGCGTTTGTGGGACCAATCCCTACAGCTTCTGAGGGACAACTATGCTAGAAAATAAATCCTGTTCAAACCAAAAAGCAACAAAGTGCTTTCAACAACTCAAATTATTAAAAGCAAATTCCCAAAGTACTCGTTGCATTGCTGAGGGGAACCTATGATAAAAGGATTTCTAGTTGAAACTAAAAATGCATGTCCTAAAGATTTTAATATTTCAAAGCAAATGTTAACAAATGAGTTGAGAGTCCATATGGTGGTTCACACCTATAATCCCAGCACTAGGGAGGCAGAAAACAGGAGGATCACTAAGAGTCCAAGCTGCATAGTGAGACCTTGCACACACACACAAAAAAAAAAACCAAAAAAAGTTGACTGAAAAAACAAAAAGAAAATCCTTGTACCTTTGAAGAGTCAGCAGTTATAAATTCTGCATTAAAAAGATATTCATTATCACGACGATTTTTCATGTCCTCATATCGCTGCTGACACTGCTTGACAGAAATATCAGCAATATCTAAAAGTGGGAGAAATTTGTCAGTGACTGTCAACAGCAAAGGTGGGAAGGATGTCAGTGTCTGTCAACATGCAAGGACAAAAATCTAGACAGGGATCTCAACAGATACACTTGGCATGAAATCAGGGTTCAAAAGGTTTTATTTCCCTTAAAACAAAAGTGTTAGACCAGGAAGATAACTCTGAGGTATACACACTTGCCTGGCAAGCACAAGGTCCTGAATTCAATCCCCAATACCACAAAAATAAATAAATAAATAAAATAAAGCTAGATAAACAAATGTGTTTGTTCCAATGCAAATACCTATTATTTTTTTAATATATGAACTAAAAGCTTTCCTAGTAGGTACTGGTACCAGAAAAGTTCTAACATGATTATTATTATTATTGTTTTTTTAGGAAAGGGTTTTACAGGGTGTTCAAGGTCTCACTACTAGATCAGACTCCTAGTGATCCACCTGTTTACAGCCTCCCAAGAGCTGAGATTACAGGCGTGTGCCACCTCACCCAGTCTCAACTGCTGTCTCAGTGCGCCCTGGGGGCAGGGCAGCATGGCAAGCCCGGAGATTAAACCCTGGGCCCCTGTACCTGCTTGCAGGCGCTTTAATCCACTGAACTATTTGGCCAGCCCTTCTAGCATGATTATTAAATGTCTATTCAAGGTTAAAAGCAGGAAGATCTGATCTCAGTTGAATGACAAAACAAACTCTGGACCTAAGTTCACTTTTGGAAACACCCAGTTTCCACAATTACAATACATAGTGTTTTGCCCTTTGCCCTGCTTTGAGATTTACACTGCGATGCAAAAGCAATGGTGGGGGTCACACAGCCCCTCACCACGGCACCAACACTCATGGGGAGAGTTACTGTCACCTAGGAAGAGTTAACAAAGCAGAACCTCATGAAATGTTGGCTTGCCAGGTGGGTGCTTATGCTGCTGAGCTATCTTCCCCAGCCCTGAAATGTTGGCTTGAAAACATGTCTTGCAATGTGATGAAATGGGAAGTAGCAAAAAATCCTTCTGCTATGTAATGAGGTGTGACATCACCTTAGGGAGTAGAATCAGTGCAACTATTCTGAGGTCTGAGCTGGACTGGCCACTCTTCAGTCATTTTGACTTGAAGGAACAGCAAACTATCGTTATTCAGTCTTGAGTACCTGATATATATATATTGTTGTTGAAAATGAACACTGTTGTTTCAAGAAAAACAATGAATAGTACTCACTACCAAAGATAAAATACGACTTTCAAGGGAAATTTCCAAGAGTAACTTACAACTGATAATCTACTGGTCTATTATTCCACACTCTAAAAGGACTAACAAAAATGTAAAGTAAGTACCAATATTCTCATTAAATTTCATTTTAATGAGTTAAAACATTATCTCTAAAATTCTCAGTTTAAATTTCACAGGGTAAGTAACAACTATACAATACGATCACGTGTTCCAGTCTTCAATATCTTTTAATCATATTCAGGACTCATCATACCAAAAGATTTAAAAAATGCTGACTGAGGTGGTGGGGGTGCAACCCCGTAATCTCAGTACTCAGGATGCTGAGTGAGGAAAGGAGACTGCCATGAGTTCAAGGCCAGGCTGGAATATACAGCAAGAAACCATCTCAATCTCCACCTCCCCAAAAAAGCAGAAATGCTGATGGAGACATTAGGACAGTACTGTGGAAGTGACTGCTGTTCTTCCTCTTATTCATCACAACAGAAAGAACAGGACACCTGCAGGGCCTTCTGCAGTGTTCAGGTGATTGACTCTTATTCATTTATCTAGTGTCCATTAAACGTTATAGCTTCCAGATCTTTTTAAGATTATTGCCGCGCTCTATTATCGTAGGTGAAAAAAAATACTGATTTTCTCTGTTTTTTCTGTATTTTAGGGAAGGGTCTACAGGGTATTCAGGGTTTCACTACTAGATCGAACTCGGACTCATAGTGATTCTCCTGTTTACAGCTTCCCAAGTGCTGGGATCACACATGTGTCCCACCACGCCCAGTCTCAATAGCTCTCAGCAGGTGCATGCCCCGGGGGCGGGGATGGCATGGCAGGGCCAGGAACCCCAGGCCCTGTGCCTGCTTGCAGGTGCTTTAATCTGCTGAGCTATTTGGCCGGCCCTAATTTTCTAATATCATTATCATTCCTCCTCTATTTATTCACTGATTTTTCAAGAGAAAAATTTCCTTTTTTACATCTTTGGTTACCTTAAAAAACTATGTTAGGTAAGAAAATGTTTTATTCTCCCATGAGTTTCTTTCAGCAACTTTCAAGAGTGAAAAATGAGGTCTTTTCCTTTATTTAATGCTCTGTCACTATTGTTTTTGATTCTGAATTCCTGTGTCAGCCAATGGAAAACTTCACAAGTTTGTCCTTTAGACATGTTTCCTACTATTTTTTATAGCTTCTTGCCTTTCTCCGGAAGGGTAAATTATCCCAACCTTATTAACTGTATTAGAAAGTCATTAGGAAAGTCCTGTAACTAATTTTTTAAAACACCTACCTCATGCACAGCCCCCATATGACTTGCCACAAGATATTACAACATCATGATAGTAAGGAAACTCTTCTTTCTTATTCACCTAATTGATCACAAGTTATTCTTTCCAATACTGCTATTTATCTTACCAGTACAAACTAGCTTGCTAATTCTTCCTTTCCTCCACTTCAATAAATCTCCACCTTTTCCACATCCCAAGTCCAAAACAGTGATGTCATGGGTTTTCTTCTGTCGTATCTTTTCTAAAAATTCCCCTAAAAGAGAAAAATCAGTCATTAACAATTTCCTATTGCTCATTTTCAGTAAAGCACAAGCAGCTACCTTTAATAACCTTCTAATCTCTGACACAGGACAAATTATTTATTTTGAAACTTGCTATTTCAAAAAACTATAGAATTAAGTTAAATTCATCATGTATCATTAGCATGGTTTCACGAGTTTGAACCACGTGGTGGTCTGTACCACGTGGTGGTGCACGTATGACTGTACTACTTCTTCCACCAGTGGTACAGGCCATCCAATAGGGCAGTCACGTATGGATCACCATTCACTGAAGCAGCCAGGCAGCAAGTCATACAAACTACGATCCCATCATGAATGTATGAAAGATGGAAAAGTACATATAAAAAGAGCACATTATAAATTTAAGACAGCTTTTTGCAGGTTACTTCCAGAATGTAAGTCATCAAATAGAAGGCATTCCAAATTCTAATTAACATAGAGACTTGACATTTCTGGTAAGAGAAAAGCCAAAAAGCAATTCATTGTTTTTATAACGTCCTCTTTCCATAACTAGATACTTAACTTCTTATATATCAAAGTAAACTGAAGCAGTTTTGGAATGATAACAGTGTTTGATTAATTAGGCTTACCCCTGCCCTCCCCACAAATATACACATATATCCACAGCTATTTTTTAGTTTCACCATCATCAGAATTCTTAAAACATCCCAATATACCATATCACATTAATACTCTACAGACAAAAATCACAGGTGCTCAGGTAGCAAGAGCCACATAGTTCAACTATAAGTTAGAGGCTTAATATTCTAAGACAAAAGAAAATTCAAGGGCCGGCCAAATAGCTTAGCGGATGAAAGGGCCTGCAAGCAGGTGCAGGGACCAAGAGTTCAATCCCTGGGACTGCTGTGCCAGCCCCACCACCAGGGCTCACTGAGACTGCATTGAGGCACTGAGATTGGGCGTGGTGGCACACGCCTATAATCCCAGCTCTTTGGAGGCTGTAAACAGGCAGATCACTATGAGTCCGGATCTAGTAGTGAGACTCTCAACACCCTGTAGACTCTTCCCTAAAAAATAAAAGATAATTCAGCAATTCTAAAACTATAAAATAATGAATCCCAGATCTACACTCCCTGATTATATCACTCTTAAGTTTAATAGTAGTTCATATGTGTAAATTTTGATAGTTAAAGTACTCTGCACAAAATCTGCCTTCAATGTCAGTTAAGATCTGAAAGTAACTGTAACATAAGTTCCATATTTAACTTTCTGTTAAAAATCTTAGCATTAGCTCTGGCAATGGAGCAATAGCAGCTCTGCATAGCCCCTTGAGGCTCCCATGTGTCTCTGCCCGCAGCTTCTGCACATGCCTCCGCGCTGCCAAGATGCCCAAGAGGAAGGTCAGCGCCAAGGTGTGGCAAAGGAGGAACCCAAGAGGAGATTAGTGAGGTTGCTAGCTAAACCAGCTCCTGCTAAAGTGGAAACGAAGCCAAAAAAGGCAGTGGGAAAGACAAATCTTCAGACAAAAAAAGTGCAAGAAAAAGGGAAAAGGGGAGCCAAGGGAAAACAGGCTGAAGTGGCTAATCAAGAAACCAAGGAAGATTTACTGCAAAAAATGGAGAAACTAAAAATGAGTGTAGCCTCCGATGAAGCAGAGGAGAAAAGCCAAGTCTGATTCATCACATACCATGTCTTATCAGTGCTCCCTGTCTCCCTTCTTGTCCAATCCAGAGGAATATTTTTATCAATTATATTGTAAATCCAGGTTTTTTAGTAGCTCTAGAAACATTTTTAGAAAGGAGGGAATGCAACCTCATTGAATTTTTTAAGTGTAAATGATTTTTTAGAGGTAAAATCATTCTGTTTATTTTTTGGTACAACCAGGAATAGTGGGATATTGAATTATGGCAGGCTTTGACTGTCTTGGGTGTCAGCCTAGCATTCCATAGGTGGGGGATAGTTTAATATCCTCCAATATAAAGCATTCTACATGGCAATTTGGAATTAGTCATGCATTTAATATGTCTTGAGATATTTTAAATGACTCCTATTCCCACATTATTTTAGAATTGTTCCCTAAGGAAAACTACTTCCTGTTACCCTGTCAGAATCACATGCACTCTATAACATCTTTGGTAGTGGTAGTCTGGTTTGCCTAATTTTGTTAATATTGTATGAAAGATCAAAAAGTTGAGTATGTAGTGAATGTGATACAAAATTGTGAATTGGTGGGACTTTAGTAACACTCTGTCAGCATTTGAAGATACTGGTACTTAATCCCTATACAGAAAATTTGCCTCTAAATTTGAAGCTGGAAAGTCAATGAAACAACCAAAAAACACTATGTGTGTTAAAAATTGTGTACAAAGTGAATCATCTGTACTGATCCTCAACACAACCAATAAAATCTCAAATACAGAAGACAAAAATTAAAATCTTAACAGTATAACTAAAGCACTGAAAAATACTTATAAAACATTTCTACAAGGTACAATTAACAAGGGAAAAAATCACCACAAACTGTTATTTTCCAAGAAAATGACATCATATTCACAAGACGTCCTCAGTTATTAGCACCAAGATGAAGGAAAATGAAGGACAATGGATGTGCTGAGGAAAGGAAAAGGCACAGGGAGCATGGCATGGAACACACTGGTGGCATTAGGACCAGAAAAACATGCAGCAGCAAAGCACTCACTGAGTTATGGAACAGCTGAAGGAGGACACAATATCACAAGATGAAGAGAATTCTGCCAAATGTCATCTTGAAAACTACCAATTTTCCTAATTACAAAAATAACATGTTAAATGGACTCAAAAACTCTCAATTTAAAAATACAGAAATAAGTAATATATCATGAAAAATCAAATGATAATTCATCCGCTTTAACCGAGAATAGTAATGAAAGCAAAGCAGGGCAGAAAAGAAATTTGGGCTAGATGTAAAGAGAATGTTAAAAACAGAGGTTAAAACTCCATAATACTCATATTAACCTTAAAAAAAAAAAAAAAGTAGCCATTTATTCTAGGTAACAGCTGGCAGAGCCTGACAGATCATATATTTTAACTTGAATGTCAAAAAACAAAAGTGAGGGCTGGGGAGATAGCTCGGCAGCATAAGTGCCTGCCTGACAAACATAAGGACCGAGTTCAATCTCCAGTACCACATGCCTGCTGGCACAAGAACCAGTCTTGCTGGTGCATGCCTATATCCCAGCCCTACAGAGGCTGAGACAGGAGGATTACTACAAGTCTGAACTGCACAATGAGAACCGTATCAAAAAACTAATTTTTTTAAAAAACTGTGTTTGAATTTAGTTCTTATTTCTTTCCCTCTTTTTTTTTTTTTTTTTTTGGTGTGGAACCAGGAATTGAACTCAGGCCCTTGCACTTGCCAGGGAAGCGCTTATTCCACTGAGCCATCTCCCCGGCCCCAAAAGAGTTCCAGGGTCTTTTTTTTTTTTTTTTTTTTTTTTGGGGGAACTGGGGATTGAACTCAGGTCCTTCCACTTGCCAGGTAAACGCTTCTCCTACTGAGCCATCTCCCAAGACCCTAGCTCTTATTTCTAATACTTCCTAAAATATACAACTTTTCTTTGAAAATTACTAAATTGTCATCAAAACTAGTACTCAAAGTTGGCACTTTATTGTTTCTAGTGCATATAAACACATTTAGTTAATGCACTAGCTATAGAAACCAATAATTATATCCTAAGTCATATTTTCTCCATTCACTTTTCTTTTAAAGTGGGTGTCCACAGATGCTTACTCCAAAAAGTTGAATGTCTTCATCAATCTAGAAAGTAGACACTACTTCTCTCCCAATAAACCAATGAGAATAAGCTCAATGGACCATCAATGCTAAAACACTAAAGGCCCAAACATAAAATCACGACAGTGATTTTAAATCGTACTAAATCAAATCTGCTCATTCAATCCAACAAAATGCCACTGTGCCAAAACTAGCAGAGTAAAATAATTATTTAATAGCACTCTATAACCTTAATTCTAACTCTAAAGAAGCACACCAGCTTGAAAGCCTCACTAACATCAACTGTACACTCAATAACATTCTATATAGTCAACCGAAGTAGTACACAGCATAATTTTAGCTGGTTTTATAAAATGAAGGCTTAATCATCAAATGAGTAAGAATTAACAGATAAAATGGCTTGATACATGGTTAAAACTGAGGAGGAAAAATAAATGAATAAATGAAATCAGAGGCTAGGGACATAGAGCAGTTGCATGTTGCTTGTCTACCATTGACAAGGCCCTGTGTGTGACCCTCAGCTCTATACACACAGGCAACTAATTAAATAAATTTTGAAACTCCAAACTAAAAGGTAAAAACTAATCATACCAATAAGCACACTTTTAATCCAATTATTGAAGTTTCTTAGGTAAAAAATACGACTTTGACTACGCTTCTCCAAACCAACTTCTTGAAGCTCATTATAATGGGCAGCCACTGCAGAGCTGTGTCCTTCTTCCAGTTTCTGAAACTAAGAGAATAAAATTAAGGATCAGAACATGGTACAAGAAAAAAATAAAGCCCAGAGAACATAATCTACAAAGGCATAACACACTATTTAAGTCAACTGAGCACTTCCTACAGAGATCCCACAAACTATTGCCAAGCCAAAGATGTTTTCTAGTATTCCCCATGAAAAAGTCTAGATTTTAAATTTATTTCATTTTTTTGTTTTTTGTGTTACTGGGGATCGCACTCAGGACCTTGTACTTGCCAGGGAGGTGCTTATGCCACTGAGCTATCACCCTTACTAAATTTAAAATTTATATTTTAAACCTTTCATCAGTATAATTTTAGTCTTACTGTCTTAATAAACTACTACCCTCCCAGAGTTCTAATCTATTCAGTTTAATAAATCACAATCAGTAAAGGGACTTTTTGCAAGGGAAGAAAACAGAAGACAACAATATGCAATGTATTAATTATTGCAACTGTGTTAGTAATCGGCTCAATGCTGTTTCTCAATAAAATTATTTGAAAAAAAAATAAAGAAAATGGTAACAAGAAAAAAAATGTCATAGCACTGTCCTGCTACAATTCTGTATATGGTGAGATTTCTAAATTTCTGTGTAAAAATATGTACTTGTGTTTTCCTATTCTTTAATTTTTTTTTTATTTTTTTTCTTCATATTCTGTAGGGACTTAAAGTTGAACATATCAATACTTGATGGAAAATACCTGTTCCATGTTATGTCTAAGATGTTTGATATTAAGACAGATAGTGAGATTAAGCTCAACTGCCTTTGTTGTAGGGTAATAATAATAAGCTTCTCTTCTAGAGGGTTAACAACTTAAGTTTGCAGACCAAAAATTAGAGAAAAAAGAAGGGCTGCAAGGACAGCCAACATTTTGGCACTAGACTTTCAAGGTCAGTGAGGACTCAGGACATAGAAGAACCTGTACTGTAACATCATGTAACTCAGTTGTGTTCCAATTTTCTGATCAAGGAGATTATGGGACCACAGAGGAAAGTGACTGATGATGTAGAGTGTGCCTAAGGAGAGTCACATGGAGAGAAAACATTCTCTCAGGCTTTCACAGAGAGCACACTAGTCAAGCAATGGCCGTGACTCATCCACATGGCTGACACTGACAAAGGATCTACAAACTGCGGTACAGGGTTTCAGGATAAATCCTGAGGGGATTTGATTGACCTTGACAGATACAAAAGTTACATTTCTTGTTATATAGGTCTTGCTTTATCTTGGTCTTAACCATCCACACAAAAGTATAAAAACAAGATATAAAAAGTAAAGCCGTATTAATATGCTGAGCTGAAAAAGCTCAAGTCAACAACTTCTGCCATTGCCAGTCCTACGGGTAACCCACTACTATTTTGAACTACTGGACTACATTGGAATATTTTGCTGAATTCACACACCTACAATATCTAAATGACAATGGAATACCCTTCTCTGACAAAACTAAACCAAAAAAGGGAGATACAAATGAACGACCACTTTGTATCTGTATACTCAAAATAGTTAGGATAGATATACAGCTACTTTCTCTTAATTCAATGAATAGAAAGATTTGTTCTAATAGTGTTTGTGGACAGGATATTACGTCTGCATCTTGTACAATAAATAACCACTATGACAATAACATGCAATGTATTAATTATTGAAACTGTCCTACTAATCAGTTTTAAAACTGTCTCATTGCTGTTTCTCAAAAATTTATTTAAAAAAAAGAAGGGGCAGGGGAGATGGTTCAGTGGAATAAGCACTTTTCTGGCAAGCACAAGGACCTGAGTTCAATCCCCGGTTCTGCCAAAAATAAATAAAGAAAGAAAAATAAAGAAAAAGTGGATACTGGATATATACATATAATCTGTATTATTCTCTACAAATGTATGCAATTCTACAATTAAAATCTACAATGTCCTATTTTAAAGACTAAAAAAAAACAACTAAAAAAACAAATGAAGGACCATTTTGTATCAGTATATTCAAAGTAGAGATATACAGCTACTTTCTCTTAATTCAATGAATAGAAAGATTTGTACTAAGAGTGTCTGTGGAGAGGATATCATGTCTGCATCTTGTACTATGAATAACCACTAAGACAACAATATGCAATGCATTAATTACTGAATCTGCCTTACTAATCGGTTTTGAAACTGTCTCACTGTTATTTGTCTCTCAACAAAATTAAAAAAAAAAAAAATGAAAACAAGTATGTTGTTATTACAAAACTGCTATGAGGATTAAATAAAACACACACACACACACACACACACACACACACGCACACATTGTGATGCATGCTTGTAATCCCGGCTACTTCAAAGGCAGAAGCACAGGGTTAAAAATTTAAGGTCAACTTAGGAAAAGACCCTCTGATAAAGATGAAACAGCTGAATATGTAGTTCAGCACTCACTGAGTTCATATTTCAAAAGAAAATAAATTAAATAAACACACACACACACACACACACACACACGTCTCTATATGGATTAGAATTTAGTACTCTGCTCCATGCCAGTGACTATTATAAATTTAATCCCAACAATTTTCAATCTTCATTATGCAGAACTCTAGGTATGCTACAAAAGTCCATGGTAGGTAAAGGACCTCATAACGCTCTCATTTCCCTTTTCAACCCCTTTATCTATTTCACAGTTCAAGATTTTACCTGAAACAAAACCTGCCAGAAACTTTAAAACTGCCTTTAAAATACAAGCTCCCCTTTGCTATGAGGACAATGACAAAAGCCTGGCCTATATGCCACTTCCCCCTTCAGAGCCGAAGGCAAAATTTTACTCATTCTTCAAAGTAGTCCTTCACACCAATTCCAGATTTTGCCTCAGAATCATTTCTACTGCAGTAGTGATTTGCTAGCCTTGTTTCGTAATTCCCCTGCTAAATATCAGACTTTGGCATCCACTTAACTAAAACTGTGAAAATAAACTAGTAAGGTAGCAACAATCATCATTTAATTCAACTATTAACGGAATACAAATCTGGGTATGATTTTGAAATTTATCAGTTGAAGTGATAATTGTAATTATTTCAGAAAAATACAGAGATAAGCACAGTTTAAAAAGGAAATGGGTAAAACATTTGCACTTCATATTCTTACTTCAAAAAAAGGTACAAAACTGGTTTTCAAGTTTCTGGTCAAAGAACACTTACGAAATAAAATGATTGTCTCACTAGTACAAGTTTTACCTTACTAAGAATTAAAACCTAAGAGTTAAAAGGCTGCTGAGAGGCCGGCCAATTAGCTCAGTGAATTAAAGCACTGGCAAGCAGGCACAGGGGCTGGGGTTTGATCCCGGGGCCTGCCGGCCCTACCCCCAGGGCGCACTGAGAGGGCAACTGGGCGGGGTGGCGTGCATCTGTAATCCCAGCTCTTGGGAGGCTGTAAACAGGAGCACCACTAACGAGTCCAATCTAGTAGTGAGACCCTGAACACGCTATAGACCCTTTCCTAAAAATAAAATTAAGTAAATATACTCCAGGGCCAGGGAGATAACTCAGTGGAATAAGCGCTTCCCTGGCAAGCGCAAGGGCCTGAGTTCAATTCCCAGTTCCTTTAAAAAAAAAAAAAAAAAAAAAAAAAAAAGCCTACTGCGGCTTAAGGTCATATCTATTAAAAACAGAACATTCTTCTCAAGATTATGCAAAAATCTAGTAATTCCACAGCCCTTCCATACAACTAGCTGATATAGTCTATTACAAATAAAACATATTCACCGTACTTTCTGCTTTTCAGGAACATCATTCAGTTCTAGTGTTCTATTTTTCAGAGCGCTATCTCCAGTAGAAGGAACACCATCAGTTTCCGTTTTTCTTTTCTTTGAATAGCTGTCAGCATCACCTGAACCTTTTTCCTCTGATACAATTTCAACACCAAGATTTCTCTTAGATGGAGTATCTTCTCCACAACTGGAACTTTCTTCTACAAGACCATCCTCAAACTTTTTCCTCTTTCTTGATATATCCACTTCCTCACAGACAGGAGTCTTTTCAGATAGTCCAGTCCCAGAAGCAGCTGAGGGGTCGTCAACACTGAGTGAAGACTTTGTTTCACAATCTGACACTTTCACCTCTTCAAAAGACGGCTTTTCATATTCCTCTGATTTTGTAGAATTTTCCATTTTTGGTTATTTGAATCAATGTTAGCACTTCATAAACCAACACTGGAATAGCAGAAATGTTTATATATTACTTGTAAACACTAATGCAAAGATTTTAAAGCAAATTTAACTAAAAATTATATAATTTCAGTGATCAACTAGTTTTTAAAAAATTTCACTGTAAACAGTGTATGTGTCAATTTCTCAATATTTAGTAATGCTAACTATAACTTCCTAACACTTTCATAATCTTACTCATAGAAGACACTAGGAGGGATTAAAATTGATGAATGAAGTAGAAATACACAAATACAGGTTGAGCATCCCTAATTCTAAAATCCAAAATTCTTTGCAGTACCCAATAGATGTACACATTCCATGAGTAAGTGAAGGTGCTTACTCAAGAATTTAAACAAAAACTTTACTTTTTTTTTTTTTGTATTTTGGGGATCTGCAGGGTGTTCAGGATCTCACTACTAAATCGGACTCCAAGTGATCTGCCTGTGGCCGGCTCAGTGCACCCTGGGGGCAGGGCCGGCACAGTAGTCCCCTTGCAGGGGCTTTAATCCACTGAGCTATTTGGCCGGCCCTCAGAAACTTTACTTTTTCCCAATTTATGTGTACTAATTTTTTGCACAGACACAAAATTATTAGGACAAAACAGTAAATTCTCTGTACTAAAATATTTAATAAAGGAAACAGGTATTTCTTTTGCTTTAAAAGACTTAATTGAATCAAAAAATGAAAAAGAAGAAACAGGGCACGGTGGTACATGCCTGTAATCCCAGCACTGGGGAGGCTGAGACTGGAGAATCACTACAAGTCTAAGCTGTGTAATGAGAACCTGTACCAAATACATAAATAATTTGTTTTAAAGATTCAAAAAAAAAAAAGAGGAGCAAAGAAAACCTACAGCAAATACTTTTGAAATCTGTACTACATAATGGGTATTCCAATTAAGTAAAAAGTGAGGGCACTAAAAACGGCTTTGGTCAAGTTCTAAGACTCAGCCTTTCGATGACCACTAAACCTCTCTCTAATACGTTCTTAGGCCTATGTGTAAAATCAAAGGGAGAGAGAAGGAACTGAACTACCTACTGCACAGGAATCATTAGGGCCTATCTATTAAGTCATTTAGTGAAGTGTCCAACCTCATACTACAGAAAAGGTCAATGTGAATTATGTCTTCAAAAGGCTTACAGCTATTAAAATGTTAGGCTGTATTATTCAAGGTCAAGGGCAGAAGGAAAAGCAAAGCATTCACAAAAAAAATCTGTGAACTTCAGTAAATTCAGATTAAACTCAGGGGCTGGTGAGATAGTGGACTAAGCGCCTGCTTAGGCAAGCGCAGGGGCCAGGGTTCCATCCCCAGTACCGCATGCCAAGCCGACCCTGCTGCGTTGTGGCACACGCCTGTAACCCCAGCTCTTGGGGAGGCTGAAAACTGGAGGATCACTACAAGTCCAAGCTGCACAGTGAGACTCTGTACCAAAAATTAAGAACTAAAAGCTATCACATTTTCAAAGCTTTTTTGCATAAAGTCAAATTGCTTAAGGGTTAAAAACAATCCACAAAATAAATGAGAACATTTGAAGAGATATTCGTGCTCACTAACCATCGCTGGAGGTAACAAAATAGTAAGAGGAGGGGAAAAAATGAATCAGGGAAAAAAAAAAAAAAAACCTATGTAATTTTCAGAATCTATTAGGAAAACTGGCCACGGAATTATCAAATACCTATTTTTCTTCCTTTGTCATTTAGCTCCTAAAAGGAAAAACATTTATTTTACATTGAAATAAAGTATAACATATTATCTTTAACTGTTTTTATCTTACGATTTCAATATGTAACTTTACAAAAACATAAGCTACGGTCAGACTAAATCACAAAGTAGTCCAGTCAACTGCAGCGATGGACAAGAATGTTTAAAACTGAACGTACAACAGCTCACTGAGAGAGCACATGCCTGCGTTGAGTAAGGCCCAGGCTTGGACCTCCAGCATCGGAAAAACAAACAAAAATGAGTAAGTAAAATACTCCAAACGGGAGGACCGCCTTCGAAGATCCTCCAGGAGGGAGCCAGGGCTGAGCTGGCTGCCGTCCAGACGGACTCACGCTACCGGCCACATGGACGCTGAGGCCGGCTTCCAGGCCCTCCTCCGGAGCCAGCCAGGCTCCGCGCTCACGCTCCCTCGCCTGGCTACCCTCAAGCCCACGTCTCGCAGGCGGGCCGACTGTGGCCCGGCTCAGACTTCGAGGCGCCGCTCCAACCTTCCACGGACCCACACCTAGCCACCACGGAGCAGCACCCGACGGGCACGCTCCCCAACGTTCCCGAGCAAAACCTCCCCAACTCACCAACTAGGCCGCCACAACTGTTTGGGGAACGCCAGCCCGCAACCAGCGCGTCTCGTGGCGTCACTTCCGGGACACGCTCACGTGGGGGGGGCTGCAGCGGTGTGGACGTCACATCCGCGCGCCGGAACTACGAGTCCCGTGATGCCTCGCGCGGGCAGCGGGGCGCGGGAGCACGTTGCTGGTGGGCGCGGCTGGCGAGCCGCGGCGGTGAGAGAGAGTGGCTCGGCCGCGGGTGGGTGGCGGGTAACCCAGCGGAAAGGTTGCCCTTCGCCGTGAGCGGCAGCCGGACTTTGGCGAGGTAGAGGGGCTGCGATCTGCGTGGGGGCGGGGAGGCCCGAGGGCACCTTCGGCCGGGCGCGCGCTGTCAGTGCAGAGGTCATTAGGCGGGCAAACTGGGCCCCCGCGCCGGACGGCTGTCAGCCCCCGACCCACCCTCTTTTGAAGCTAGCTGTGCCATGTTGGGCAGTCGTTCCACGCCTTCCTACCAGGAAGCTGTGGTCTTTCTCACGTTATGGGGAAAGGGCAGCCTGCACCTGTTCGCGGCAAACCTCGCCTCGTCTGTGTGGCTAAACTTTGGCACGGAATGGCTGGAAGGAGGCCGCACTCTCCTTGCCCATCACTGGGAAGTGGAGGCATCTGCTGTACCGGAACTATAAAAGTTCCGTGGTTCAGGGCTGCCCCCATCGGATCGCACTGTGCCTTCATTATAAAACCGTGACAGATTTACTGTCCATTTTGGAATTAACTCTTTACCAAAATTGATGCTTTAAAAGAATCTTTGAAAAATGTGTTTTACCAGCATGCTTTTTAGTTTGTAGGGAGAGTTTATAGAGTTGGCTTTGGGGAAGGTGACATTTACAGCATGCTCCTCACAGTCTGATCACTTCTAAACTGTGAGTCCTTCTGAGGTTACCCCCTTATGATGACTTTGAGCTAATAAAAAGACTGCCTTTAACAAGAAAGGATGAACCATCAATTTCAGATAACTATTTGTATTTTTTATGACGTGCGATTAGCTGAGACTTCAGTGCATGATTGGCAACTGCAAAGGTGCATGTAGCTCCTAGAATGAAGGCACCAATTACATGTTCAGGCCCAGAACTAGACAGTTAACTTTGTCCATATGTGCTTGTTCTGTTGCTCAAGTTTCTCGAAATAATTGCTGTTGTAATTTTAGAGAAAATTAATCGAATCTTGACCTTAACACTTATTCTCAGATTAAAAACCTCTTAACTGTGTGTTTATATAAACTTCATGATGAGTTAATGTACATGGGATATATAAAAGTAACATATTGTAGCTTTTGTAGAACTTAACAAGGAGTCATGTAAAAAAGAAAAAATAAAATCTCTGCTGCAGGGGCCGGGGTTCGATTCCTGGGCCTGCGGACCGGACCGGACCCTCCCGCGCTGAAACAGCAATTGAGACTGGGCATGGTGGCCTGTGCCTGTAATCTCAGCTCTTCGGAGTCTGTAAACAGGAGAATCACTAGGAGTCTGATCTAGTAGTGAGACCCTGAACACCCTGTAGACCCTTCCCTAGAATACAAAAAAAAAACCCTGATTTTCTAGAAATTGAATTAAAATACTAGGTGCTTTGTGCAGTTGTGCTCATTTAGTTTTTATGTATTCCAGTAGGGTTGTTTGTTTTACAGATGAAAAGTACATAACTTGGCCATGGTCATGCAGTTGATCAGTGGTGGGATGGGGATTTGCACTCAAGTGCAGGGACCAGAATCTGCTAATAATGAGACAATGCCTGTTAGACTATTTTTGGAGCTAGAAGTTGCTTGGGACATAGATACTCAAAAGTATGCTATGATACTACAGTTGTTTTGTTCTTGTTTTTTTTTTAGAGAGAATCTTGCTATGTAGTCCAGGCCAGCCTTGAGCTTGTTATGTACTATAGTATAAATCTCAGGCAGGCTTTGATCCTCAGTCGTCTTGCTCAGGCTCTCATGTGCTGAGATTGTAGGCATGTACCACCATGCCTAGCTTGTTACTTCTTGATACTCAAAGTTACTATGTTCAGAAGGAAAAATATAGATAAGAATGTAATCTTGCCAGTATACGAACTCTACTAAAACAGGGTCATCATTTTGTTTAGTGATTTAATTTAGGTGCTTGAACACTCCGTGGCCTGTAGTTGACACTTACTGCATGAATGAATCTCCAAGAAGGGTTTAAAAATCATGGATTTTAAAAAACTGACAAGATGACATTTACTTCAAGACATTGATAACAAACAGCATTTCTCTCAGATGTGCAATTTTAAAGTGTAATTTCAATGGTAGAATTGAGGATATTTTTGAAACAAAAATAGTTTTCAAATTGTACCTACAATGTTGGAGCTTCCTAAAATTGATGTTCTTTGGAGGCAGAAAAAAAGGTGTCTGTGGCATGTTTGTTCCTCAAAGAGACTTGGAGGAAGGATTTTTCCTCCTTTTCACTTCAGATATTTTTCATATCATACTTGTCTCTTTAGATAATGTATTCTTGTTAAATATTTCTGAGCTGGGAATAACACAGCTCAGTAATAGAGTGGTAGCATGTGTATGCCTCTGGGCTTGATCCTCAGCCTTAAAAAATATATATTTAAAAAGCTTTTCCTACAGTTAAAAAAAAATTAAAAAGTTTTTCCTACAGTTGAAAGTAATATTTGGTTGAGAAGTTTGTAAGTTTACAATATGTCATAACTTTGTATGTCAAGTTGGCCAAGATATATTACATAATTATTTAATAAAATATTGAGATGCTGCTGTGATGGTATTTTGACGATGTGGCTAATATCTATACTCAGTTGGCTTTTTCTTTTTTTGGTTTTTTTGAGACAGAGTCTCACAATGTAATTAAGGCTATCCTCAAGCTCAATATTGTAACCCAGACTGACCTTGAACTCATGCCTTAGCCTGTCAAGTGCTGGGATTACAGATGTGTGCCACCAGGTACAACAACACAGTTGACTTTAAGGAGTTTACCCTCAATAACATTCTGTATCTGCCTAGATTTAGTTGTAGATATTTATGTTTACATCTACATCTTTCTGTCTGTATATCTACATCTTTCAGTTGTATGTTTGGTTTTGTATTCTGGGACCAGCCTGATGTCAGTTTTGCACAAGAGTAGTTCTAGAGAATCATAAGAATGAGTTTTATGATTGGTCCTGTGGTGTCAGAAATTAATGCTCTAATCCAAGTACATTTGAAGGCTCTAATGACTATTTCTAGTGAGGACATTGATAAGTTCATGATGTGATTTGACAATAGAGATAGGTAAAATATCACCACTGAATACTCAAGCTGAAATGGTTGTAGAAGGCAAAAGCCTGTGTGATCATGTATTTGATAATTTAGAATGTTTTTTTCAAAACTAGTGAGCACAGTGAGATTGGATTGTTGTCCTCATTGTGGCTGATAAAGTAGGAAAGAAAAGGATGAGCTCAGGACTTCAAATTCTCAGTTCAAGAGCCACACAAATGGCCAGAAATTTTTTATGTCTACCCTAAAAAATAATTATCTCCTGTAGCTTCAGAACTGAGGTTCAAAAAAATCCCAGAGTCTCATCCTAAAGGTGGCTGAATTGTATTATAATGCAAGTCACATTTCCATCTTCACAGTGTGTCTGCTGTTAAAATGACTGATTGTGAAGGATAGCATCCCCAAATTTGCAATGGAGACATATAGGAAGATCCTGATGAGGTTGGACATGTTAAGCTGTAAATTCTACTCAGTCTTTTTTGTGAATAGAAGCAGCCCTTTGTCTTCTGTGGGACACAGTTAACCCTGCTTTGTATGAGGAACCTTTAGGTAGTTTACTTGAAGAACACTGCTGCTTCTCCCAGGACCTACCCCCAAACCCCTCCTTGTTTCTAGACCTATAAATGGAATCAAGTCCTGAGCTGGGGAGTTGGCTTGGCAGTCTAAGTACCTACCTGGCAAGTGTAAACACCCAGGTTCAGTGCCCAATACTGAGTGCTGGGCCAGCCCTGGAACCCCAGAAGTGCTGTGCCAGCCACTGAAGCCAGGTGTGGTGGCACATACCTGTTATCCCAGAACTAGGGAGGCTGAGAGGATCAATACAAGTCCACGCTGCGTAGTGAGACCTTGTACCGAATAAATAATAAATATTTTTTAAAACATGGAATCAAATCCTGCAGATCATGAAGAATGAGCTACAAAGTGTGACCCATAAGGAGGTATACTACATTCCTAAAACACTGCATGATTTTTTCAATTTATACAGAGAAAAATCTTGAGAATATTTGTGGACATAAATATAAGGGCATAGGATAATAATGGAAGGAACATGAAGTTGAATCAGGCTGAATTTACTGAATTTGGTCCAGAACTTCTGAATTCAGTGGTCCAACATGGGGCTGGGGGGAGGCAATTAAAAGGGTCTCTAACTGGTTAGTTGTTGGCTTCAGCTTGGCCCATAATGTGACCTTATGGCACATGAATTCCAGCTGCCAGACCTGCACTGATGCACTGTAGAGGAGGGGATACAAAGGCCTAGAGAGAATGGACAGTTAAAGTGAATTTATCATGTAAGGTGTGACTGAGAAATAAGTTTGTGAGAGGAGTTTAGCATCTATGAAGAGCTGTGTGGTTGGTTTCTCCTCTCTGTTGGTAAGAAATTATAGTGGTAATTGCTACCCTTGAACTGTGGATATGACCTTTGACTGCAGTGAGGAGTCAGTCCTAGGTGACAAGGCCAGGTGACAGCATTTGATCACCAAAGAGTAGGAGTCAACTTGTGAGAGTCAACCTGTGATGCTGCTTCGTCATTCGTGCCTAGGAGAGAAATAGGTGGGCATCTCCTGGATTCTGATTTGAGTTATTTAAGCAGAAGAGTTCTAACTCAAATGAACAGAAGTCTTAAGCTGCATTACAGAAAGAAGTCACAGTCCCTCAATCATTTTCTAGTCATACCTAACACTCCCTGAATGAAGAAGTAACCCCTTCTACCCCCACACTGCCAGAAATTCCCATTGTTGGTTTTTCTCCCAGCCTTCCCCAGCCAATGAAAATAATCAGACTTTTCAGGGATTACTAAACTGAATTTACACTATTCTAGGGACTCAAAGTGTCACTGTGGCCTATCATTTGGAGAAAGTGCTTATGAAGATAAGATGTGCACTCGAGCTATAGCTCAGGTTCACCTCAAGTGGGCCAGTGATTCTCCATACCCATTCTGTGGGTATTTCTCTGGAATGCATAATTAGTAAAGGTATATTCACCAACCATCTGACCTGTCACACTGGTTTTCTGGTCTGGAATGAAGTCTGTGTTTGTCTGAT